TGTAGAACTCTTAGGATATCCCTTAGACCTGTTGAATCGTTGGTAAGCTCCCTGTCACCATGAACAGCCTGGTAGGACTCTTAGGATTCCTTAGACCTGTGTAGGAATCCTTAGGATCCCTTAGACCTGTGTAGAACTCCTTAGGATCCCTTAGACCTGTGTAGAACTCCTTAGGATCCCTTAGACCTGTGTAGGACTCAGACCTGTGTAGGAATCCTTAGAATGCCTTAGACCTGTGTAGGACTCCTTAGGATTCCCAGGCCATGATGTGTAGGACTCTTGATATTCCCAAGACCTGCTGAACAGTAGGTTGGTCAACACATCCTGCGTCACCTTGAAAGTCTGTGTAGGACACCTTGGACATGTTGTGTAGGACTCCTTAGGATTCCTTAGACCTGTTGTACCATGGGTTGGTCAAGAGGAGACAAAAAAGACGGGTGTGTTTTTCTCATTCTTTTCGGGAAATATTATCTGGGCTAGCTAGTACTTGCATCGGTTGGCAGTACACTCAACTCACACACTGAGTGTCTGTGGTTCGATTCCCGGCACGGATGGAAACATTAGGTGTGTTTCCTTAAGATACCATAGGTATCCTTGTTCACTTAGCAGTAGTAGGTACCTGGGTGTTAGTTGACTGGTGTGGGTTGCATCCTGGGGACAAAATTAACCAATGTATGTATAGGAGTGTACTCACCTATTTGTGGTTGCAGGGGTCGAGTCTTAGCTCCTGGCCCCGCCTCTTCACCGGTTGCTACTGGGCCCTCTCTCTCCCCGCTCCATGAGCTTTATCAAACCTCGTCTTAAAACTGTGTATGGTTCCTGCCTCCACTACGTCATTTTCTAGGCTATTCCACTGCCTTACAACTCTATGACTGAAGAAATACTTCCTATATCTCTCTGACTCGTTTGTGTCTTCAACTTCCAATTGTGGCCTCTTGTTTCTGTGTCCCCTCCCTGGAACATCCTATCTTTGTCCACCTTGTCTATTCCACGCAGTATTTTATATGTCGTTATCATGTCTCCCCTGACCCTCCTGTCCTCCAGTGTCGTCAGGCCGATTTCCCTTAATCTTTCTTCATAGGACAAACCCCTTAGCTCTGGAACTAACCTTGCTTAGTTAATCTTAAGTTAATTTTAAGCTGCCCATAATGCTCTGCATACAAGGGGCTTTTGGCATGTACACTCAACCATTGTATTTCTTTTGTACAACTATGTATCATGTCCAAATAATAATAAATAAATAAATTATTCAGGTACAGGTACACATAAATACAGTTACATAACTGCCCTGTCAGTTACAGTCCTCTTGGCCTGGTGGCTGAAGCTCTCACTTTACATGGTGAGAGTGCGGGTTCGATTCCCAGTGAGGGTAGAAGCATTGGGCATGTTTCTTTACACCGGTTGTCTATGTTCACCCATCAGTAAAATAGGTACCTGGGTGTTAGTGGACTGGTGTGGGTCGCACTGGAACAAAACTGACATAATTTGTTCAAAATGCTCTGTATAACAAGGGGCTTTCTATATAGTAGTATGTTATTAATGTCAACTAGGACTGTATACCTTGTATGTACTCGTAGAAATGAAGAAAATAATAATGTTATTAATATTACATAGCAGCATATATGTAGATTACCTAAGATAACCCAAGAAAGTCAGACAAGGTGACTTACTTCTGTTGGTCCTTGTAATACCTTATTATTTAAAACAGTGAAAGGAAATACACTAGGACTAAGGTAAACTGAAGTTATTTACATTTACATTAAAGAGAGGACAGATCACAGTAATAGGCACATGTATGTTAGTTATACTAGAAATCACTCTCCTCCCTTTCTGTCACTACATTCACAAGCACCTAAAGTCGGTACCTGACCAGCCGGTCTGTGGCTCGTACGTTGGATTGCATGCAGCTAGCAGTGACAGCCTGATTGATCAGGCTCTGATCCACCATGAGGCCTAGTCTCAGACTGGGCCACGGGGGCGTTGACCCCCAGAACTCTCTCCAGGTACCTATTGGCTCTCTTCTTGAAGAGGTTCATGCTGTGACTGGCTTTGACATGGGCAGGCATTTTGCTCCACTCCTTTATTGCTGTACCCTAAAATGTGTTTGAAGCTTGGCCACTGACTTGGGTACTACAAAGTTGTGCTCCTTTCTCCTAGTATTCTATACTAAGAGATAACACAGGAAGTGTCGGGGGCCCAAGACTGTTCAACTGCCTCCCAGCATACATAAGGAGGACTGCCAGTAGACTCCTGGCTGTCCTCAAATGGAAGCTGGAGAGACACCTAAAATCAATACCTGACCAGTCTGGCGGTGGTTGTGTGTTGAATTGCATGCGACCAGCAGAAACAGCCTGGTTGATCAGGCCCTGACCCACCGCAAGGCCTGGTCATGGACCGGGCTGTGGAGGCATTAACCTCCGAATACTCTCCAGGCATCAGTACTCATTTTTCTGCCACCCTAAGTGTAACCAAAAACCGAGGCACATCAGTAGTGAAAAGTTCTCCCTTTGCATATTTTGTCCAACTCAGAATCAACATTCTGTAAAAATAATTTCCAACCACTAGCTAATGTTGCTCCTTTTCTTTTTGCTCCAAGGTTGAAGATGCCTGACTTTATGTAATAATACTAATAACAATAATAATAATAATTATAATAATAATATTTATTTCTACAATTACATGTACAAGGTATACAGGTCTAGCTGACATCAATGACTTACTACTATAAAGTCCCTTGTTATGCTGAGCATTTCAGGCATATTAGATTAATTTTGTCTCAGCGCTGTATGACCCTTGTGGGTTTAGTGCTTAGTTTTGATGATGATCATAATAATAATAATAATAATAATGATTGTCCCCATGATGCCGCCCACACCAGTCGACTAACACCCAGGTATCTACTTTCTTGCTAGATGACCATGGACAGCAGGTGTTAGAAAGCACGCACGTTTCCATCCATACCGGACATTGAACCACAGACGCTCAGTGAGGCGAGAGCATTGCCAACCAGGCCACAGGATTGGGTTGTCTTGCATTAGACTGGCTGATCATTCATACAGCTGCTTTTTTCCTACATACCATAAAAAATTTAAAAAAAAATATTAGGGGCTTATGTTAGAGATCAAAATAAGAATCTTGTAGCTTGTGTTACTTTGTATATTTTTTTCTATCATTATATGTCCTGATACTTAAATATCTTGTATTTCAGATGATGTTTTAAAATCCTCTGCAAGTCTGTAAATCTGAAAAAGTCTACTTAATGGTGGCAAGCATGGAGGAGCAGTCAGTGGATGATGCTAAGAATCCAGGACAGCAGGAGTCTGCCTATGGTTCACTGGAATCCAGCTCCCAAGGTCCATCTCAGAAAAGGTATATAATGGTGGTTTGGGGGTTACTTTTAACTGTGTACTGTGTCGATTCCAAGATGGGCTTTTCTTATAGACTAAAAAAATAAATAAAAATTAAAAATAAAAAATAAAAAAAATTATTTCCTTATAAAGCTTACAATGTGTAGTTTACATGTTATGAGATATTAATTACTTTTGAAGTATGAGAAACTACCATAGTTTCTGTATTAGAGGTCATGATGAGGGTGACCCAGGTTACTACCTCCTTCACAAGTTGATGATTAAGACACACATGTCCAACAGTCGGGTATCTTTATTGTTTAAATGTTTTGCCTGCACAGTTGGCTTCTTCAGTCAAATATAGAAGCAGCAAGTGTAGCAGTGAAATGAAGATGATGTAATCAGTCCATCAACCTAGGAGAAAAATTGTCTGAGGTGGTCAGTCCCTCAGCCTGGAGAAGAGTTCAGCTCCATGGTCTGGAACGAGATCGTTCCAGAGTTTGGCTCCATGGTCTGGAACGATATCAGTCCAGACCATGGAATTGAACTCTTCTCCAGGCTGAGGGACTCACCACCTTAAATAATTTTTCTCCAAGGTTGATGGACTGATTACATCATTTCACTACTACACTTGCTGCTTCTGTATTTGACTGAAGAAGCCTACTGTATAGGCAAAACATTTCAACAGTAAAGATACCCAACTGTTGCACATGTGTCTTAATCATCAAACTAGGTGCTTGACAGAGTATAAGTCATCTCCCAAGGTTATTATCAAGACACCTATCTGTCTTACAGTTGTTTCTCATGTTTATTGTGTTGATACTCTAAATCCTAGAACCAATGCCAAATCTTAGATTTAAAAGAATAAGGACATGTGCACAGCTTAGGAGGTTTTTTAAAGGAAATGTTTTGCCATTAAAGTAGCTTCAATCTTAACAAAGAGTAAGGTAAAGTAGGTTAATATGTATGTAGTAGACAGTGCAGGTGACCTAAGAGGGAAGTAGATAAATGGTTCGGAGAACTAACAAGTTGATAAATTAGACACATGCAACACTTGGGTATCTTTATTGTAGAAATGTTTCATCACACAGGGGCTTCATCAGTCCATACAAAGAAGAGTGTTGAAGGTCGGAAGGAGTTTGAGGGAATCAGTCCATCAGTCTTGATGACATGATCACAGGCTCCAGGCTGAAGGACTGATTACCTCAAACTCCTGATCTTCACCATTTTTCTTTGTATTGGACTAATGAAGCCACTGTGTCGCAAAACTTCTTCACAATAAAGGTGCCCAAGTGTTGCACATATGTCTAATTTATGACCTAGGAGTTAGTTTAATATGTTCATTATGCACCCCATACGCATCCTATGGGCGGTGGTCAAAAAGAGGTACATAATGGGTCCAGGGACTGAGTCGCAAAGTTTTGAAAGCTGAACAAGTTACAAGAATAAGAATAAAGCAATGAACCATTCAAACGTCTACACCCAATCACAATTGCAATAAATTATTAATGAAAATATTAACTTTATTTACAGTGAGCAAAGTCAGGGTATTTTTCCAGAATTGTTTGTAATATACCACTGTGGATAAAATACTATGACATCTTGAACTTTTCTAAGTGAGTTGTCTCTGAATTCATTAATTTTATTGCACTCACTCCAGTACATAATGACACAGAGTGTGACAATAGTCCATCTGGCAGAGTTTACATTTTTTTGGTCTACATCTGGTGGTGGTGATTTAATCTGTCAAAGATACTTGTAACCCAGCCGGAGCCGGGCGGTAGTTACATCCAAGAGTCAGCTTATTTTGTTTATAGCACCATTGACATGTGGTTCCTCCTGCATGATACAATGACCCTAATGGAAATAAATCACTCTGACTTCTTTGGGTTATCCTAGGTACTCTACACATATGCTGCTATGTATGATAATCTATGTAACTGTATTTGTGCATACCCAAATAAACTTACTTGCCAGTGATGAGACATGGACTGACTGGTGTCCATCTCCCTCAGTCTAAAGTTAATAAAGTTCATTTGAAGTTTTTTTTTATATAATTGTTCTCAAACTGCTGACAACCCAAGATTGTAATCTACCCTCTCTTTGAAAGCATACAGCTTAGCCAATTTATCAGTTCTATCATGCATCTGAAGACCAATGTGAGATGGAATCCACAGCATGTGCACACTGACTCTACTGTCCACAATCTTACCATACCTGTGTCTGGCATCTGACACAAGCATGCCACAATTTATACTTAATGAGTTGAGAGCATTTATAGGTCTTTTAAATCAAAAGACTTGCAAAAACCCCTCACAGTTATAAACATCTACAGAGTACCACAGTCAAACATTTACCACTTAGTGAAAAACTAGGAAACATGATTACTGATGCACACATGAATAAAGACCACCTGCTACTAACAGGAGATTTCAACATACACCTACATAAACCTACTACACGACCAGGACCCACAAGTAACCGAATTCACAAACACTATGAGCAACTGCCTGTTGTTACCAACAATATCTAAACCTACAAGAATCTCCGATGCTAGTATCTCTTTAATAGATGACTTCTGGACTAACACCATATCCCCTTTAACCCTTTCAGGGTCCCCAGGCCCTCTCCGAGACTTGTTCTCAGGGTCCCTAAATTTAAAAAAAAAAAATAGGTTTTTTCTTACGAAAAGATAGAGAATCTTTTCCCAATCATAATGACACCAAAAGTATGAAGTTTGATGAAAAAACTTACGGAATTATGCTCTCACGAAGTTAGCGGTCTTGACGATGTTTATGCATCGGCGATTTTGCCCACTTTGAGCCCAATTTTCGGTCAATTCCAGTGTACTAATCAACAAAAATCATAACTATTTCGCTAGAACTCCATTTTTTCTATCGAATGAGTACAAGAAACCATCCATTTACCGATTTCAACTATCCAATAAAGTGGTCAGAATTTAGCAATTTTGCCAATTTCACACAAATTTCAAAAGATGCCAATTTCCAAATAGGGTCCAGAATAAACAAGGCATTCCTGGCACTAAAATAACAAGTTCTCTGTTCATTAGTCACGTCCCCACGCCTCTCTTATATTTCTCTGGCTTTCCACCTTGAATTTTTCTTACAAAAAATAGAAGATTTACTGTTATGCAGACTACTGCATTAGTGTAGAAGTGGTATAAATAATATCGGCGCACTTGTGAAAGAATATTAGACTCACCAGTTGGCGTGTATTGGACGCGTGGCATGATTTGTTTACTTTTGAACTTTTGTAAAAATCGAACATTTCTGCTACTTTGAGTTCAATTTCAAGGTACTTTTCATTATAAAACCAGTCAAAATCATCTCAATTTCAGTAATATGTCTTCCATTCTATAAAACGAGACCAGGAAAACTAGAATACAACAATAAATGCCATATGAAAATATAGTGCAAAGTCGCTGTTTTAATCCAAAAACACGGTCAATTTTTTTTTTTTCTCATTACGCACTGTGTGCTGCAGGATTTTTTTTATACTGCGCACACTGACCACATAGACCCATCATTCTTTCATATCTAGGCCTACCAGCTTTCTCTCACTAGATTTGAGGGCGCTAGAATTTAGGCGTACTAGTATGTCAAAAGCCTTGGGGCGTAAGCTGTGCATGTACTAGTACAGCCAAAACCCTGAAAGGATTAAAATCAGGCATAATCACAGACAACACTACAGACCACTACTCAACCTTTCTCATAACCAATCTAGGTAAATTGCCCGAAGACATTACTAAAGTTACCCTCAGACTACATAACGAGACAGCTGTTAACAACTTTATAGCAGCTATGAATAACATCGACTGGCATAATGAGCTCAAAACATATACAGATATGAATGAATGTATAAATAATTTTCTAAAAAAAAGCCCATTACCTCTACAACAAACATTGCCCTAAAAAAACTAAACAGATCACAGCAAAGAGACTGAATAGTCCCTGGCTAACACTCAGCATCCTCAAATTCATTAACACAAAGCACAAATATGAAAAACAGTACAGAATGGGTCAAATAACTAGAGACCAGCCTAAACGTTACTCATCAGCTCTTACCAGCCTGATAAGATCTAAAAAATTGTATTATGAAAATAGATTACATAACATCAAAGGTGATATGAAAAAGACCTGGAAAACTCTATCTAAAATTCTTGAAACTAAAAAGTTATCCAAAAACAAAACAATCAAATTAACAAAACCAGACAAACCCCTACTCACACCAACTGAAACAGCAAACAGACTCAATGTTTTCTTCTCCACCATAGGAAAAAATCTAGCGAACAAAATACCAAGCTCAAACACCCGTCCATCAGACTACCTCACAGGTACTTACCCAAATACATTTTTCCTAGCTCCAACCAACCTAACAGAAGTCCCGCTCATAATCAACACCCTTAAAAACAAGGCAGGAGACATAAACAACTTGCCTGCTTTTATGTACAAAAAAGCTTCTCAAGTACAGTGGAACCTCTACTTGTGAGCGTGTCCACGTGCGAGTTTTTCCAAATATGAACAGTCAATGGGTCGATTTTTTGCTTCCATACGCGAGTAAAATTTCCACAAGCGAGCAGACCTCAAGGCAGGTTCCTTGACACTGGTGAGGGGCTCTTGCTCTTGATCTCGGGAATTGTATCTCATTTGTTTGTTGGACTATCTTATTGAAACTTGGGCAATGTATGATGGAAAGATGCTTCTTAATGTACACCAAAAATGAAAGAAATCTAAGCATAAATAATGGAGTTCACTTCTCACCAATTAGCCACCCCTTAGCGGTAATTCCAAATGGTTTTTATGGTTGTATTCTCGTTTTTTGGTCTCATTTGATAGAATGGAAGATATATTACAGAAATGGATATGATTTTGATTGCTTTCATGACGAAAAGTGCCTTGAAATTGAGCTCAACCTAGGAGAAATGGTCCATTGCTTGGCTGTTTCAGAGTAAACAATATGCAGTCATGAATGGGTTGACATATTTATACAATTACAGTATTGCAATAAGGAATAACAGTAAATCTTATATTTTTTGTGTGAATAAAAATTACAAATAATTTATATAATAATAATAATGATAATAATATGTTATTTATATTGTTTATTATGTCATATTAGATGAAGTGAGATAGATAAATAAGCCGTAGAGTTGATATTAGCGAAATTATTGAAGTACAGAATTCCACTGGAATGGATTAATTGCATTTCAGTTAATTTAAATGAGGAAAATTGACTCTGCAAACAAGCAAATCCAGTTGTGAGCAAGGTCATGGAACGGATTAAACTCGCAAGTAGAGGTTCCACTGTATTGTCACCAATTATTGCAACACTCTTTAACAAATCCATTGAATCATCTACCTTCCCAACAATCCTCATAATAGCGAAGGTCACTCTGATCCATAAAGGATGTGACCAAGCTGACTTGAATAACTATAGACCAATATCTAACTTACCACTGCTCTCTAAAATCTTTGAAAAATTAATTCATAGACAGATCTGTTTCTACCTCGTCTCACACAACATATTAAACCCTTGTCAGTTTGGATTCAGGAATAATAAAAGCACAAATGATGCTATCATACACATGCTAGAACTAATACATACCACACTCAAAAAGAAAGAAGTCCCGCTGGGAATTTTCATTGATTTACATAAAGCTTTTAATACAGTCGACCATGAACTGCTGTACTCTAAATTAACGCACTATGGTATCAGAGGCCACTCCCTCAACTATCTAAAGTCATACCTTAGTAGTTAGTAGCAGAGGTCAATATGTGTACACAAATGGTGCAAACTCCTCCACCCAACCAATCACAGTAGGAGTCCCACAAGGAAGTGTCCTTGGACCACTCCTCTTTCTCATCTACATCAATAATCTACCGAATGCATCACGCTACTCAAACCTTTTATTTGCAGATGACACTAATATGTTTTCCCCCTCCAAAACCCAGTCATATCCCCAAACATGTCAAAGCCAATTGCAAAAAATATCTCCCTGGTGTGATAATAAACTTCCCTTGAATATTGTAAAACCCCCCCCCTATTTCATTCAGTTTGGAAACAAGCTGAAAAATTTCCCACTTAAAAATAACGCTAAGGATCATCAGCACAAGATTGCAGGGGGAAAAAATTATTGGTATCCCCCTTAAAAGTAGCCTTAATTTCCCACCTTGTACAACAAATCCCCAAGAAAATTCTTGACTGTAGGCATACTATCAAAGATAAGGTCTATGTTCCACAATCAGCTTCCTGGCATGTACCATTCCTCACACCCCTTATTTTACATATGGAATTTTGCATGGGGTTCAACAACTTTAAATCACTAAGACCTCTAATAACCCAGAAAAAGGGCAGCAGTCAAAAGGTAACAAACCCCCACCCCCCCGCAGCAACTCCCCAATTTAAAAATTTTAAAATCTGCTCCATTAAAAAACATCCATACAGTACTTATTCATGTCCCTACTACATACATGGAAAAAATAATGAAAATTTTAACCCCCCACTAAAATTCTCCTCACCAACCTTAACAGGCCCTTACCTAACACAAGACACAGTCTTTTTTTGATATACCTCGGTCCATATACACTGTGTAAAAACCTATCCACATAAAGGGCCCCCAAAAAATATGGAATTATTACCAGAAGATATAAAGTCCCCCGGTCTGAAAAAATTTAAGATTTCTCAAAACCCCACTTAATCACCCTAGACAAAAGCTCAATATCGTATTCAAGGCAAAGTTTGGGTTTGTGATTTCAGAATTTTTTTTTTGGGGGGGGGGAAGGGGGGGGGCCAAATTGGGGGATGGTAGTTTGGGGAATGGGGTAATATCCCGGGAGTGAGGAAGTGTCATTTTGCCTTATTGCTAAATCAGTAGTGGTTCATGCAGAATTTGGGGTACTAGTTTTTTGCTCCATCTGGAGGAGTGTTCACCAGTGTTGAGGAAAGTTTGGAGGGCTTCTGTGCAAGGGTTTAAATAGGCTAGCCTGAGTTTATTGACCCCAGTGAGGACATTTCTTTCAGTAACACAATCTTGATGTTTGGGAAATATCAAGTTCTTTCTGCAAATTTAAAATTTTTTGGCATGAGGTTTAAAATCTGTTTTTGATGTACCCAAACAGACATGTAATCATTAGTGAACTTGCCAGAATGGATTTAGGAGGATGGCTTCTCTACTGGATTCAAGGTCCCTGTTCAGCAAAAAGTCCTTGTGTTGTTCCAGGGGCTAAAAGTGTAACAAAAGATAAATTTTGGAAAAACCCCACAGGGTGGTTGCTCGTCCCATCTTATTCGTTTTCTAAAAATGCCTTATTAATACTGTCCCTACCCAGCCCCATATTATATGATTTTTTGCTGATGATTAAGATTCCACCACCAGATTCTCCAAAACCCAAAACCCTTTAAACCATGTATAGCTTATGCTAAATTGTGTTCACAGAAACTTTGGGCTAACAATTTTTTACTTAAATTTTTGGAAAAATATGAAGCTTCTAGACCTTTTGGAAAAAAATGTCAGTTGGGCAAGTGAGGCACCCCCCGGGCCTAGTAGGAAAAAGGCTTTCGCTTACATGATGGGGTCCGTGTGCGTTTCCTTTTCCGGCAAGAGGGGAAAACATTGGGATGTTTCCTTACACCCCTTTGTCCATGTTCACCCCATCAGTAAAAGTGGTCCCGGGTTTTGTTGTCGATGGTGTGGGGTCGCACCCGGGGAAAAAAGACCTAATTTCCCCAAAAAATGCTCTGCATAAAAAGGGGTTTTATATAGTAGTATGTCATGTTACAGCTAGATCTGTATCCCTTTTTACTTGTACTTACAGAAATAAGATATTATTAACTTTCGAAAACTTTGTCTTGTTAGTGTTTTCGGATGATAGTTATACTTATAAAAAATAATAATAATAATAGTAATATCTTTTTTTTACAAGTACATGTACAAAATTACAGGCCTAGCTAAAAAATCAATGACATACTATATGTAAAAAGCCCTTGTTATGCAGAGCATTTTGGCAAATTAGGTGTTTTTTCCCGGATGAACCCCCCCAACAGTTGACTAACACCCATTTACTATTTTACTGAGGGTGAGCATGGACAGCAGGTGTTTTATGGGGAAAAAAAATCCTAATGTTTTCCAGCTGTACGGGGATTGACCCCCCCGGGCCTCAGTGTGTGAAAGAGTGTGTAGTAATCAAATATATTTAACATTATTAATGCCCCCATTTATTTTTTATTGCATGCAGACATTGTTTTGAGATCCTACCTGCAGGTGTTTTTGGTTCCGAAAATCTGATATTTAAGCCTAGCGTTTTTTCCCAACTTGTTTCCCTCCCCCACATGGAAATTTTGTACATATTTTATTTCCCGCATAGTCGAGGTTCTCTCTTGTGTTTCTGACCAAGTCTTTGAGAAGAAGAGTTGGTGACCTCTTGATGGTTTGGTTGTTAAATAGTTGACCACATTGATTTTTTAACAACCAAACCAAGATAGTCACCAACTTTCTTCAACCAAAGACTTTGGTGCAGAAACACAAGAAAGAAAAACCCTTTGACCAGTGCGGAGTTCATAATTCCATGTTTTGAATGTACAATAAAATATGTGGGGAAACTGCTAGGTCATTAAAAAATCAGACTTAGGAAACAGAAACACCTGCAGTGAGATGACCAAAAAATGTGTGTGAACTAAAAACAAATGTTTTGGACTAATGATGTTTAACGAAGAAAACTAGTCTCGTGAAAAAGACTAACGAGGCTGCCTTCTTACCACAATTGACAGTAGACAGAAGGTATGTGTTTAGTTGTGTGTTTCCAAAAATTAACTAAAAAATTGTTACATATAAGGTTCACTGTCAGTGAAACGCTGGCATGAAGCTAGCAGGGTGTAGGCCCATGCTAAAAAAAGTTATACTGAAAACCAGCCTGTCATTAGACATTTTCCAAAAAAATATTTTCTGCAATTGGGCATAACTCTGTCTCATTCACTTTTTTCTTCGGTCCCTGTACTGTCTACAATTTTTAACTTGTACCTTTCAAACTCTGTATTAGGATTAAGAAGCCATTTTTGGCAAAAATTTCTTTTAAATGTCTGAACTGTACATAGATTCTTTTTCCCAGCTTGGCGGTATCCCATTTACAGCCCTTTGATTTAAAGTTTGGTTCCTGAATTGTGATTGAAAATGGAATGACAAAATGGCAATACCAAGAGTTTTATGAGTGTAACTGCTGGAAATATGTTTGGTAAAAAATTTGAAAGGGTATTTTTTTTTTCTTTTTCTTTTTCAATTACCATTGTGGCTTTTTTTGTACAGTTTTTGAAATTTATAAGTGAACAACTTGTTGTCTAATATTTATATGTCTGCCAAACAGTTACAGTGGCAGCAAGAGTCTAACAGTGGGCCAGCCACAGAGTGGTTTTGGCGACAATGTGATTTTTTTGGGAAATCTGTCAACTTGTTCTGTTATTTATGTAATTATGGTGTCTTGTTTAAGAGTATTCTGTTCCATACACAAAGGCTGAAGCTTTAGAGAAGACTTTTTCTATACAACACCTTGGAGAAAAAAGAATAATTGTGTTTTGCTTTTCTTTCCCCTTTTCAATGTCATGTTTTTTTTCCCCCGCCAGAGTGTATTGACATGTAATTAAATGATGAACATAAAATGAAGGAGCACGCGAGGGGTAATGGCCTATGCTGGGAAGTCAAGTCCCCCCATTCATTACTTATCTAAAATGTTTTTAAAGCTGTAAGGGTTTTCACTTCGTGATGGTACCGGGTTTGTTCCCCCTCGTCACAAATCTGACCAAACCAAAGTTTTTTATATCATTTCTAAAACTAAATTTTTCCCCTTTGAAAAAAATTTTGCAAGTCCCGTTTGGTTAGCTATTTTGAGAAGATTGCTTTTTTCAGATTATTAATCCTGGAATGCTATTAACCCAGGATAATCTAAGAAAGCCCAACAGTGCATCTTATTTCTGTTGAAGTTTTTAGGTCTTCTCCAGGATAGCCACAACAGTCTTTTTACACCCGTATCTTCTTTATGAGTAACCTGTGAACGTTGGGTTCTTTATTGTTGAAACGTTTCACCTATGCAATAGGCTTCTTCAGTCAAATACGTACAGAGAACGTATTGTAGACAGCAGAAGTGATGAGGTAAAGATAATGTAATCAGTCTATCAACCTTGGGGAAATAGTTTTGAGGTGGTTAGTCCCTCAGCCTCCTTGCTCTCGGTTTACAATTTTTTTATCTTTCATCATGACATTTATTATACGTATTCAGTATTCCTGTAAAAATCTCTGGGAATTATTAAGAGAGTCTTTAGGTGTTAGAAGTAGTAATGATGAGAGTAGGTTCCAAAGAGTGTCTGCAATGTAGGTCTGATTCTTATAACAGTTCTGGTAGTTTGAAAGTTCATGAGATGGTTATGGGTGTGTCAGAACATGGTGCAGGTGTTATTAAAGTTGTCCCTCTGACAAGTGTATGTTCAGTGATGTGTTATTTGCATCTCTTAGATGTTACCCATATGTAGAAGAGTTCTTATATGTGTACTACAGTTTGGTTAGGAAAGATGGGTTTTCTTTTTATAATGTTGACTTGTTGAGGAACCTTGCTGATTCTACTTTCCCTATTTTTATATTGTTTTTTCTTTCATCTGGCTTTAAAAATCAAGTGCATTTTTGCTTGGTATATGTTTTTTTGGTATAAGTGTGGTTTGTTCCTATACATTTGGTGCAATTAGGTAAAGAATTGTAGCTTTCATCTTTACGTTGTTAACACGTACCAAGTGTGTCGACAAGTGAACCTCACTCTCCAAACTCTTCATATAATGACTAACAGAATTAAGGTAAAATAAACTACAGTAATTTTTACCTAGTAATATATTAAAAAAGACTTTACAAATGTGGAGGTGACTGGAAAATAATCATGTTTGTTCCCTACGCTCTTTACTTAACTCTATTTTTTATAGAGCACTATTTTAAGGAATGTATCCTACATATGCTAGAGCTTTTGGTAATTTGTACTTGCTAGAATATTTAAAAAAAAAAAAAATATTCCTCATTTCACTTACAGCCAATGTCCATAAGGCACTGATGTCACAGGAACATATTCCCCATATTATTAGAGGGTATACTCAGGAGCAGCACCAAGGAAGGGATGCTTGGGGGACTTCAGACCCCAAATATTACCTCAGGCCCCACAGTACCTGAAATAATAATAAAAACAGTAACAATAATAACACAGGTTCAAAACAAGTCTCTTAGCGTGTCCCCTTCCAACCAGCCTACCATAAGCTCCCAATATAGAAATTATAACTGCTCCTGGAAATACTGTACAAGAAAGTTCTTCACAAAAAATGCGGTGTAGAATATTGGAGTTAGTTAAAAGAGAGGTAGTAAGTACTACACTCACTTGACTTCATAGCCTCAATATTTAGAAAGAAATATCTTTAATAGTGAATTGTTTTTCTGCCTTAGTAGTACACTATTTTATTTTTAATTTGCCTGGTGTATACTGAACTGCTGAAAGTTTTCTTATTTTTCTTTATTCCAGTAAAAATAGATTGAGAGAAATCAAGCATAAAGACCACAAAAGAAAAAAATCAAAGGAAAAGACTGATAAACTGCTTGTCAAGGAGAAGACTGAGAAGGTTGTCAAAGAGGAAGAGGAAGATAAAGAGAGGGAGAAGACAAGAGCAGTGGAGCGTGATCCCAGACTGAGCAGCGACACAGCCAGCAGTAAGTTAGGTACATCTTATACTTGACCAGATTGAATCATCAAGATTGCAGTAAATGATTTTGTAATGACAGGGGTGGAATAGATTATTTATGAATGAATTCAAATGAATGTAAAGTGCTTGACAAGTGTGAGAAGTGTGTCAAGTTATGAGTGGTCAGATGGTTGGTCATTTAAATTAATAGTTGTATGTATTTGTATTTTTCAGCTGATTTGCTGTTTTACTGAATTGTTTTATTTGCACTAATGTAGTCTTTTGTTTTTGAATTTCCAAAAGCTAACCCCTTCTTTACTCTTGAAAATAATGAAATGCCTTAAAAACTTTGTACAATAGCATACAGCCTCTCCTCACTTAACAACGGAGTTCCATTCCTAAGACCACGTCAGTAAATGAATTTGCCGCTAAGTGAGGAGCATACTATGATGATAGTGAGTTTGCCAACCATCTTTGTTTTAATGTCACTTTTGCACCATTTATAACATTTCTGGTATATTTTTAAATGTTTATACAGGAGTGTACTGTATATTGTAATAAACAGAATAGAGGAAATCAGCTCTAATATAAATTATTTAGATATGCACACTGGTCAGAGAGCCTGTCGTAAGTCCAAGTTGTCAGTAAACGAGTATGTCGCTAAGTGAGGAGAGGCTGTATTTTTTTTACCTCAAATTTCTTAGCAGTTTTTTTTTTTTTTTTTTTGAAAATTATCTAGTCTTGGCAGAATGAAGCATGGCACCTAAGCTAGGTTAGGCAATAAGCAGATTTAATTTAACCATTATTATATCTTGGCAAGAGGCGTGGAGTTAAAAGATAAAGAATCACACACAAAGTGGGAGTTGTCACAGCTGCTCTTTGCTGATGACACTGTGCTCTTGGGAGATTCTGAAGAGAAGTTGCAGAGATTGGTGGATGAATTTGGTAGGGTGTGCAAAAGAAGAAAATTAAAGGTGAATACAGGAAAAGAGTAAGGTTATGAGGATAACAAAAAGATTAGGTGATGAAAGATTGAATATCAGATTGGAGGGAGAGAGTATGGAGGAGGTGAACGTATTCAGATATTTGGGAGTGGACGTGTCAGCGGATGGGTCTATGAAAGATGAGGTGAATCATAGAATTGATGAGGGAAAAAGAGTGAGTGGTGCACTTAGGAGTCTGTGGAGACAAAGAACTTTGTCCTTGGAGGCAAAGAGGGGAATGTATGAGAGTATAGTTTTACCAACGCTCTTATATGGGTGTGAAGCGTGGGTGATGAATGTTGCAGCGAGGAGAAGGCTGGAGGCAGTGGAGATGTCATGTCTGAGGGCAATGTGTGGTGTGAATATAATGCAGAGAATTCGTAGTTTGGAAGTTAGGAGGAGGTGCGGGATTACCAAAACTGTTGTCCAGAGGGCTGAGGAAGGGTTGTTGAGGTGGTTCGGACATGTAGAGAGAATGGAGCGAAACAGAATGACTTCAAGAGTGTATCAGTCTGTAGTGGAAGGAAGCGGGGTAGGGGTCGGCCTAGGAAGGGTTGGAGGGAGGGGGTAAGGGAGGTTTTGTGTGCGAGGGGCTTGGACTTCCAGCAGGCATGCGTGAGCGTGTTTGATAGGAGTGAATGGAGACAAATGGTTTTTAATACTTGACGTGCTGTTGAGAGTGTGAGCAAAGTAACATTTATGAAGGGATTCAGGGAAACCGGCAGGCCGGACTTGAGTCCTGGAGATGGGAAGTACAGTGCCTGCACTCTGAAGGAGGGGTGTTAATGTTGCAGTTTAAAAACTGTAGTGTAAAGCACCCTTCTGGCAAGACAGTGATGGAGTGAATGATGGTGAAAGTTTTTCTTTTTCGGGCCACCCTGCCTTGGTGGGAATCGGCCGGTGTGATAATAAAATAAATATATCTAATTCTTAGCATCATTAATATGTATGAAACATTTTGTGATCAGTGTACACCATTTTTTTGCCCTCTGAATTTGCAAACTGTGATGAGCATATAATATCACAAACAAGTGCTCAAGAGAGTTACGTACTTTCTTTCAGTATATTTTTTTTGTGTGGCATTGTGCCTTGTCACTATGATACAAATGTCAATAATTATATTAGTGAAGTACTAGTTATGAATCTCCTTTATTTGATGTGCTGGAAAATTAAAAAAAAAATGCATGTTTGTACAAAGTTAATGCTGTAGATCACTGTCATATGTTTTATGTACTAGTCCATGGAAGGAGAGGCGAGTTTGTTATCAGTGAAACCTGCTAATTTAAATATCTATTGTTACTGTTATGAGGAGTGTTATTCATTAATTACTTGCTTCAGGTATTGCAACAGGAGTTGAGGAGAGCATCTCAACATTCAACTATCACAACAATGACGGGGACGATAAGGCTGATCAACCAACCCTGGTGTATACTCAGGCTCTTAATTACATTCGAAAGATTAAGGAACACTCTGCAGAACAAGGTAAGTAGTTCTTTCTTTCTTTCTTTCAACACACCGGCCGTATCCCACCGAGGCGGGGTGGCCCAAAAGGAAAAACGAAAGTTTCTCCTTTTACATTTAGTAATATATACAGGAGAAGAGGTTACTAGCCCCTTGCTCCCGGCATTTTAGTTGCCTCTTACAACACGCATGGCTTACGGAGGAAGAATTCTATTCCACTTCCCCATGGAGATAAGAGGAAATAAACAAGAATAAGAACTAGAAAGAAAATAGAAGAAAACCCAGAGGGATGTGTGTATATATATATGCTTGTACATGTATGTGTAGTGTGACCTAAGTGTAAGTAGAAGTAGCAAGACGTACCTGAAACCTTGCATATTTATGAGACAGAAAAATGGACACCAGCAATCCTACCATCATGTAAAACAATTACAGGCTTTCGTTTTACATTCACTTGGCAGGACGGTAGTACCTCCCTGGGTGGTTGCTTTCTACCAACCTACTACCTAGGAAGGTAAGTAGTTACAGTAATTAATTTTTGCCCTCATACACAGCTGTGAGTTATATACATATGTTACATACATATGTTACATACATATGTTACATACATATGTTACATACATATACATATGCCATATACATATATTACATACATATGCATATGCTAAGGACATGCGAGCACACTATTCAGTATGTATTAGATATTGTACTAGTTTAGTATTTTTTATTACATTATCTCGGTCAGCAGTGTTTGGTATACAGTAACTTGTTTTAGGATATTTTAGTAAGAATGTCATATAATCGCTGACTTATTGCTATCTGAACATCTTGGCAGTACATCGTAAGATAAGACAAGATTTTGTTTGGATTTTTCACCCTGGAGGGTTAACAACCCAGGATAACCCAAAAGGCAGTGCATCATCAAGGGACTGTATGTCTTACAGTGGTACCCCGAGCTTTGGCCATAATTCTTTCCAGAAGGCTGTTCGAGAGCCGTTAGTGAATGAATCTGTTCCCATAAGGAATAATGTAAATTAGGTTGGTCCATTTCAGACCCCCAAAAATGCTCTTGCAAAAGCACTTACAATAATACAATTACATAATTGTTCGAGTTGGGAGCTGTAAGAAACTTGGGGGCCTCAATCTTGTCCCCAAGATGCGACCCACACCAGTTGACTAACACCTAGATATCTACTTGTTTGCTAGGTGAACAGAACAACAGATGTAAGAAAACATGCCCACTGTTTTCACCCTTTCTGGGGATCAAACCATGGGCACTCAGTGTGTGAAGTTAAAGCTTTGCCTGCCAGGTCATGGGCCACCAGATATAACTGTCACCCAGTCAGTGACATGTCCTTGCTCATTAATGCATCATTTACCGATTCACTAGCAAAGCATATGTCAAAGTATATTTCCACAAGTACATGTATATTTCCACATGATACATACTGTTTATACAGAAATGGGTGACACTTAATTGTATGCAGAAAGCCTATGGTTATGCAGAGCATTTTGGTCAAGTCATCCCTTGCTTAACAATCAAGATAGGAATCACAAGAATATTTTTTTCAAGTTACCAGTAATTGTAATGCATACTTGTGTCTGTTGAATGTATGCGTATGTGCAGTACTTCAGAAAAACTTTATGATCGTAAGAGGAATATGCCTTTCTATATCTTATTTAATTATAATTTATAAGTTATGATGAACCTGAATAATTTATTAGAGGACATAGTGAACTAAGTGTTACAAGCACTGGAAGCTCAGCAAAACTTTGAAACAGACTAAAGAGCTGTGCTCGTGTAACTATATAAAAAGTACTCTAATCACAAATAAGTACTGTACTCATATGGCTCCCAATGTCTTTTTTCTACTAAGACTTATTCATTTATTTTATTTATTTTAGCATGATACAATGTTTGTACATAGATGGTGACATTCGGTTGTTCATGCAGAAAGTCCATAGTTATGTGGAACATTTCAGGCAAGCATAAGCCTAACTTGAAACCACAGTGGCAATAACAATTACTGTATTTACTTTTATATATAAGGACATTAAGGGTGTACTGTTTGAAAAGACATAAAATAAATAAATAAATAAATAAATAAACAGACAAAAATTTTAGGCATTACAGAGAATAAGCAAGCAGACTATTATATTAAAGTTGAATTATGACTACTAGTGAGAATAAGAATATACGTATAGTTTTTCACATATTTGTGGTTTTAATAATTGTTTAGTATATTTTACACACTTCTGCTATATTTATCATATTTGATTAATTGTTAGGATATATTAGGGAAAAGGAGGTCTTTTCTTTACAGTAGCTTCAAAGCTGCTGGCAGAGAGGCTCTGGAGATTTCAAACAGGGAGTTCCAGATTTTAGGGTTTTTTATGCACATTGAGTGTTTACAAAGCTTAAACTGGACGTGGGGAAATGTCACAGAGATTTTTGTGTCTAATATTATGCCTATGAGTTCTGTTGCATTATTATTATTATAATCAAGGGGGAAGCGCTAAACCCGGAGGATTATACAGCGCCTGGGGGGGGATGTGGAAGGCATTCAGGCTTAATTCGGGGAACTGGAGCACAGATCCAATTCCCTAAATCAAGAGCCAATCACCAACATCAAGGAACCTTCCTTGAGGGGAGTTCTGTTGCAACTATCAAGAAATGTATTGCTTTTGTCTCTCCAGGTAAACTCCAGGTGGTTACAGCTAATGTATTCTCTAGTACAGTGCTATATTGTAAAAATATTCTAGTATTTTTCCTTCCATTATATCGCTGCAATTATTTTTTTTTTTTTTTTTATTATCACACCGGCCGATTCCCACCAAGGCAGGGTGGCCCGAAAAAGAAAAACTTTCACCATCATTCACTCCATCACTGTCTTGCCAGAAGGGTGCTTTACACTACAGTTTTTAAACTGCAACATTAACACCCCTCCTTCAGAGTGCAGGCACTGTACTTCCCATCTCCAGGACTCAAGTCCGGCCTGCCGGTTTCCCTGAATCCCTTCATAAATGTTACTTTGCTCACACTCCAACAGCACGTCAAGTATTAAAAAACCATTTGTCTCCATTCACTCCTATCAAACACGCTCACGCATGCCTGCTGGAAGTCCAAGCCCCTCGCACACAAAAACCTCCTTTACCCCCTCCCTCCAACCCTTCCTAGGCCGACCCCTACCCCGCCTTCCTTCCACTACAGACTGATACACTCTTGAAGTCATTCTGTTTCGCTCCATTCTCTCTACATGTCCGAACCACCTCAACAACCCTTCCTCAGCCCTCTGGACAACAGTTTTGGTAATCCCCCACCTCCTCCTAACTTCCAAACTACGAATTCTCTGCATTATATTCACACCACACATTGCCCTCAGACATGACATCTCCACTGCCTCCAGCCTTCTCCTCGCTGCAACATTCATCACCCACGCTTCACACCCCTATAAGAGCGTTGGTAAAACTATACTCTCATACATTCCCCTCTTTGCCTCCAAGGACAAAGTTCTTTGTCTCCACAGACTCCTAAGTGCACCACTCACTCTTTTTCCCTCATCAATTCTATGATTCACCTCATCTTTCATAGACCCATCCGCTGACACGTCCACTCCCAAATATCTGAATACGTTCACCTCCTCCATACTCTCTCCCTCCAATCTGATATTCAATCTTTCATCACCTAATCTTTTTGTTATCCTCATAACCTTACTCTTTCCTGTATTCACCTTTAATTTTCTTCTTTTGCACACCCTACCAAATTCATCCACCAATCTCTGCAACTTCTCTTCAGAATCTCCAAAGAGCACAGTGTCATCGGCAAAGAGCAGCTGTGACAACTCCCACTTTGTGTGTGATTCTTTATCTTTTAACTCCACGCCTCTTGCCAAGACCCTCGCATTTACTTCTCTTACAACCCCATCTATAAATATATTAAACAACCACGGTGACATCACACATCCTTGTCTAAGGCCTACTTTTACTGGGAAAAAATTTCCCTCTTTCCTACATACTCTAACTTGAGCCTCACTATCCTCGTAAAAACTCTTCACTGCTTTCAGTAACCTACCTCCTACACCATACACTTGCAACATCTGCCACATTGCCCCCCTATCCACCCTGTCATACGCCTTTTCCAAATCCATAAATGCCACAAAGACCTCTTTAGCCTTATCTAAATACTGTTCACTTATATGTTTCACTGTAAACACCTGGTCCACACACCCCCTACCTTTCCTAAAGCCTCCTTGTTCATCTGCTATCCTATTCTCCGTCTTACTCTTAATTCTTTCAATTATAACTCTACCATACACTTTACCAGGTACACTCAACAGACTTATCCCCCTATAATTTTTGCACTCTCTTTTATCCCCTTTGCCTTTATACAAAGGAACTATGCATGCTCTCTGCCAATCCCTAGGTACCTTACCCTCTTCCATACATTTATTAAATAATTGCACCAACCACTCCAAAACTATATCCCCACCTGCTTTTAACATTTCTATCTTTATCCCATCAATCCCGGCTGCCTTACCCCCTTTCATTTTACCTACTGCCTCACGAACTTCCCCCACACTCACAACTGGCTCTTCCTCACTCCTACAAGTGTTATTCCTCCTTGCCCTATACACGAAATCACAGCTTCCCTATCTTCATCAACATTTAACAATTCCTCAAAATATTCCTTCCATCTTCCCAATACCTCTACCTCTCCATTTAATAACTCTCCTCTCCTATTTTTAACTGACAAATCCATTTGTTCTCTAGGCTTTCTTAACTTGTTAATCTCACTCCAAAACTTTTTCTTATTTTCAACAAAATTTGTTGATAACATCTCACCCACTCTCTCATTTGCTCTCTTTTTACATTGCTTCACCACTCTCTTAACTTCTTCTTTTTTCTCCATATACTCTTCCCTCCTTGCATCACTTCTACTTTGTAAAAACTTCTCATATGCTAACTTTTTCTCCCTTACTACTCTCTTTACATCATCATTCCACCAATCGCTCCTCTTCCCTCCTGCACCCACTTTCCTGTAACCACAAACTTCTGCTGAACACTCTAACACTACATTTTTAAACCTACCCCATACCTCTTCGACCCCATTGCCTATGCTCTCATTAGCCCATCTATCCTCCAATAGCTGTTTATATCTTACCCTAACTGCCTCCTCTTTTAGTTTATAAACCTTCACCTCTCTCTTCCCTGATGCTTTCTATTCTCCTTGTATCCCATCTACCTTTTACTCTCAGTGTAGCTACAACTAGAAAGTGATCTGATATATCTGTGGCCCCTCTATAAACATGTACATCCTGAAGTCTACTCAACAGTCTTTTATCTACCAATACATAATCCAACAAACTACTGTCATTTCGCCCTACATCATATCGTGTATACTTATTTATCCTCTTTTTCTTAAAATATGTATTACCTATAACTAAACCCCTTTCTATACAAAGTTCAATCAAAGGGCTCCCATTATCATTTACACCTGGCACCCCAAACTTACCTACCACACCCTCTCTAAAAGTTTCTCCTACTTTAGCATTCAAGTCCCCTACCACAATTACTCTCTCACTTGGTTCAAAGGCTCCTATACATTCACTTAACATCTCCCAAAATCTCTCTCTCTCCTCTGCATTCCTCTCTTCTCCAGGTGCATACACGCTTATTATGACCCACTTCTCGCATCCAACCTTTACTTTAATCCACATAATTCTTGAATTTACACATTCATATTCTCTTTTCTCCTTCCATAACTGATCATTTTAACATTACTGCTACCCCTTCCTTTGCTCTAACTCTCTCAGATACTCCAGATTTAATCCCATTTATTTCCCCCACTGAAACTCTCCTACCCCCTTCAGCTTTGTTTCGCTTAGGGCCAGGACATCCAACTTCTTTTCATTCATAACATCAGCAATCATCTGTTTCTTGTCATCCGCACTACATCCACGCACATTTAAGCAACCCAGTTTTTATAAAGTTTTTCTTCTTCTCTTTTTAGTAATTGTATACAGGAGAAGGGGTTACTAGCCCATTGCTCCCGGCATTTTAGTCGCCTCATACGACACGCATGGCTTACGGAGGAAAGATTCTTTTCCACTTCCCCATGGACAATAGAAGAAATAAAAAAGAACAAGAGCTATTTAGAAAAAGGAGAAAAACCTAGATGTATGTATATATATATATGCATGTGCGTGTCTGTGAAGTGTGACCAAAGTGTAAGTAGGAGTAGCAAGATATCCCTGTTATCTTAGCGTGTTTATGAGACAGAAAAAGAAACCAGCAATCCTACCATCATGCAAAACAGTTACAGGTTTTTGTTTCACAGTCATCTGGCAGGACGGTAGTACTTCCCTGGGTGGTTGCTGTCTACCAACCTACTACCTATATCGCTGCAATTACTAAATATATATATTTTTTTTTTTTTTTTTTTTTTTTTTTTTTTTTTTTTTTTTTTTTTTTTTTTTTTTTTTTTTTTTTTTTAACACATTGGCTGTCTCTCACTGAGGCAGGGTGACCCAAAAAAGAAATAAGTTTTTTCCTCTTTATATTTAGTAATCGCTGCAATTACTAAATATAAAGAGGAAAAAACTTATTTCTTTTTTGGGTCACCCTGCCTCAGTGAGAGACAGCCAATGTGTTAAAAAAATATATCACTGTAGTTTGTATTGTATGTACATCATCCACAACTTTGTCAGTTTCATACCAGTAATTCCATCAACTGTCTATCAAGACAAATGACCATATTCTCTCTCCCTCTCTCTTTTTTTTTAGGAGTTTCCTTTGCTAGTCAAGAGCTTGTACAACTGCCACAAGACACTCATCATGTGGCTGCCTTCCTCAAGACCTTTAAGAGTGCTGTAAGTTCTAATTAATCTTTTTGTTTTAATTTTAATTGGTATTTGCAGATTAGTAAAGAAAATAAATAAATAAATTAATAAATGTTTTTCCAAGAACATAGCGTTTGTGTCACAGAGACTGCATTACATGTCATACATGGGAAACTCACAGTTGTACAAGCATATGGTGCATCATAAGTTTGTAACTTAAAATTATTTGACAGTAAATAGTTCAAATTATATTATTTGAATGATAAGTTTAACAAAAGAAAATTGTCCAAAGATAAGATTATTCAACACAGTGATCATTCTATGTAACAAAATTGTTTATTAAATCTGCAGTGCCAATATGAAGGGACCATACCAAAACAGGAACCGTTTTAGCAATAATTTGGGCAGGCAAGGAGGTAAGAGTGAGGAAAACAGTAAAAACAAGAGGTACACAAGTGTGAACACTTACTGGAATCTGGATAGGCAGGTTGAATTAGTAGTTTTTGACATTTATATTGGGTTTTCATAAATTTACACAAACTTCTGGACTTTACTTGAAGTAGTTGGCAAATAGGGAATCAAATCAAATCAAATCAAAGTTTATTCTCTATAAGGATTACAATGCGGGGTTTACAGATTTTGTTTATTGTGTGGTTTACATGTAATAAAATACTAATTACAGAGGGAGCCACTAGAACACCTAGCAAGGCTAGGCATTTCGAGCAAACTTAGATTAATTCTTAACCCTAAATTATTACAAATTGTGGAATGTTTAGAATCTTTTGATAGTGAGTTCTGTATTACATACCACTTATATGCATGACATTTTATGCAGGTTGAGTTGAATTTGTGAGATAGCAAAGAGGTAGAGTAATTTTTTTTCTGAATTGTGTTCATATATTCTGTCGCAACTCTGTGACAGGAGCTTTTAATCTTGTGTATCTAGTATGGTTGTGCTTGCCACAAATTGGTAGGCACACCATGCAAATATCTCTCAAATCTCCTGGGCACAGTTTCTAAGTATTGTCTTAACATTCAGCAGCCTCACTAACCTCATGTTTAACATTAACGGCAGTAACAAGAAACTCCAATGGTTCCCACCACACAAACCATTACTCCTGTTCTGCTGTAAGATCACTGACCCCATGAATCTTCCAATAAAAGTCACTGAGTTCGTTGACTTGATTGAGTTTCAATTGCTTTACTACTGCATTTCTATCTGTGTACAGCAGTTTGGGATGGCCATGGGCTCAGTGCAGTTATAGCAAGTCTATACATGGAGTACAGGAGAAGTGATTTAAATTCATCACCCCAAGGGGTGTAATGTGGCTATGTTATTTGGATAAGGCACTGGTTATTTCACTCAGATGTCTCAACATTGCTAATCTTCCTGCCAGGCTTAACTCCATGGAACCTTCAATTAGGTTTACTAGGATGAGTGACTTCCCTTCCATGATGTCCTACTCTGTAAAGATGGAGAAAGTCTGACATTTAGGATCTGTAGGAACAGTCAGTTTGTTTCATTACCTTTCACACCATGACACTAGAACCAAGAGAGAAGTGACCATTGATTCTGCCTTTGAGTATACAGAATTTTTGTCCCTGCTTTCCTCAAAGAGGAATGTGCCTGTGTTCATCAAACATCCACCTAGCTCCAACTTTCTTCATGTTTGTCAGTAAGTGTCGAAAGTGAGCACTGAGGATCACTCACATGGCCAAACAGGGACACTAACGAGGAATGTTTATTTTAATACCAGTTAGTGAAGTGATGACCAACGCAGCTAACACTGACCAGGAGCAACATCAACATACACACCATGACATTCACCACACTTGAGGAGCTAGTTAGGTTAAAAAGAAAACCCATGAAGGCTCACCAAATCTAAAATAGGAGTGTATGCAGTAGTATTTAGAGGATGTGAGGAGGCGTATGTTGAAGAAACTTCTAGAAGCTTGGAGCAGTGTGTGAGAACAAGTGTGTATGGAGTAGGGATGAATAGAACAATACAATACAGTTTTTATTTCATTATGCAGTACAAATAATGTAGTTTACATATATGAATTGATTGGCATATAGGGAGGCCTTTCAATGCTTCAGGCAAGGAGTTCCAGATCTTAGGGACTTTTATGCACATTGAATTTTTAGATAGGTTGAGTCAGATGTGGGAGATGCCAGAGAAGGTTGTGTGTCTTGTGTTATGCCTGTGTTTTGTTGCAGATATCAAGGAAAAGTTTCAGAGAAGGATTTATACTGGAATCGATTGTCTTATATATTATCAGTCAAATAAGAGCTCTATATATATTCAGAAACTGAACATACACAAAGTATGAATGTATTTGGTAAAAAGAAAACTGAGAAACAAATATGAATTATTTATCGTTAACAGATGAAAGATACATCAACAGTTCTTGACCAGTCTTTATCAAATAAATATGAGTTCTCTCTCTACATGCATAAAATGAACATACGTAAACTTTTAATGCATTTGGTAAATAAAGAATCCCCCCAAAATTTATTTATAATTCATCCTTAAGAAAATAGCAAATATAGTTGTGCTGATGCTGTAAGAACAAGTTACTGTAAGTAATTAATGGGTTGCAAAATGGGGGTGTGGTAAGTGCAAAAACCTCATACCTTGGAGCCTCATAAGTTGGGGCTCTACTGTACTTGTAAATTTCAGTGTTACAGGAAGATATGACATCGTAAGTGTTTGTCAATCTAAAGTGACATTTTTTATTGCAGCATGGTTTTACCGTTGCCATCAGCGTTCAGGATGGCACAGTGCTGCAGATCTCGCCATCAGTAACTGATGTCCTGGGTTTCCCAAAAGACATCCTTATCGGGCAGTCCTTCATTGACTTTGTCTACCCTAAGGATTCAATTAACTTATCATCCAAAATCATTCATGGATTAAGTATGCCATTCAGAAATGAATCACTCAATGGTAAATTTTATGTACTTTGCAATAAACTTTTATAAAAATATTGTACTTGTGTCTCTGACACTGAATATATAATTTTCCTCTTATTTATATAACATTTTACTGGGCTTTTCTAATTTCAGATAATTATGGCACATCATTATTTTGTCGGATGCGTGTATGTCACGATCTGAAGACTTCTGGTGTTGGTGTTCACAATAAACGCACCCATTACAAGCCATGCAAGATTATTCTGAAATTTCATGATGCTTCACGTCTGGATGAAACTACTCCATCTAGTGGAACCAACTCATCTCTTCTGCTGGCAGAAGTTATTCCTATAGAAAGTGTTTACACAGGTTAGTCTAGAAAACAAAGACATTGTCAGTCTTTTCAACAAGTTGTATGTAATTACCCTTAATTTTTTTTTTAACAAGTTGACCGTCTCCCACCAAGGCAGGGTGACCCAAAAAGGAAGAAAATGCCAAACAGGACCTACATTACTCAGGAGAAAAAGGCACTCCCAGGACACAAGTCTATGAAAGACAGGCTAACTCTCATGTTTTGTTGTAATGCTAGTGGGGATTGCAAAGCGAAGCCTTTACTCATGTATCACTCATGTTCCACTCATGTTCCACTCATCAACATAACATAAGAATGGAGGAACACTGCAGCAGGCCTGTTGGCCCATACTTGGCAAGTCCTTCACAAATCCAGCCCACTAACAGAATAAACGCTACCCAAACAATAAGCTTTAATAACTTTACTTACTCATGTGCAAGTCCCACTAAAATCCAGCCATTCTCACTCATGTATTTATCCGACCTAAATTTGAAACTACCCAAGGTTTTAGCCTCAATAGAACCTTGGGTAGTTTTATAAAGAAATTGGACAAATATATGAGTGGGAGGAGCTGGGTATGACTGGTGTCATGGGTACATAATAACATAAGAAAGGAGGAACACTGCAGTAGGCCTGTTGGCCCATACTAGGCAGGTCTTTCACAGATCCAGCCCACTAACAGAATAAACTTACCCAAGCAATAAGCGTTGATAATTCTATTTAATCATCTTGCCTGTGTGCTAATGGAGTTACAGGAAGCTGACATCGAAGAAATGCTGAACACTGACAATGATGCACCTGTTGTGCATTCCTTGAGTGGTGATGAAATTAGACAAATTGTGATATATAAATAAGCCATAGAGTTGATATTAGCATTATATGGAAGTATTTTGTTGTGCCTCCTAAGAGCAGGAATTCTGCTGGAATGGATTAATGCTATTTCAATTAATTTAGATGAGGAAAATTGACTCAGCATACGAACAAATCGGGATACGAACAAGGTCACGGAACGGATTAAATTTGTAAGCCGAGGTTCCACTGTACATTATCTGTGCACCGCATAAAAAGAAATAAAAATTTGAATTTGAATACTAAATTAAATTTTAATTTGGTATTTACATAGCAAATCAAACATTTAAGAAGTGTTTTGTCTATATGACATTGACTTGTGTCTTGTGACTAGAGATTTTGAGATGCATTCCACCTTGGAGTTACACATGTTCAGTACAAGTAATCTGGATCCTCATCTCAGACATTTAGTGGGATGATTCACAAAACTGTGGGTTAGTTTGGAAGAGTTCTGCTGAAAAAAATTTAAAATATATCATTGTAATACCTCTCCCAATTGCAGTGTTAAGGTGTTCTTGAAAACTTATACTAGCTGGGACTATGCACCTGATTTTCCCATCAACACCCGTGTCATGATCATATATGCATTTCCCAGCCATAATATTCCATGTTTAATTTAATTTGTTATTTAAATAAAAATTTATACATAATATTTTACATTCAGTATTGTAGGTTCTCACTGATAAATAATGTTTAACAGTGTTTAATTAATGAAAACATGATAATTAAACAGAGAAGAGCTACAATACAGTACAGTGGACCCCCGCTTAACGATCACCTCCAAATGCGACCAATTATGTAAGTGTATTTATGTAAGTGCGTTTGTACGTGTATGTTTGGGGGTCTGAAATGGACTAATCTACTTCACAATATTCCTTATGGGAAAATATTCGGTCAGTACTGGCACCTGAACATACTACTGGAATGAAAAAAGTTCGTTAACCGGGGGTCCACTGTATATACCACAATACAGGTGTATAGTAATAGGTAGTAACTTGATTGCTTCCCTCTCTTACTCTTACTATTCACTATTACCCTTTCTTCCATCATATCTAACTGGAGGCTCTGAATAGGCTCACCCTACTTACGAACTACTTGCGAACTACTTACGAACATTCGAGTTATGAACACTCGGACATACGAACAGACTGCCTTGTTAGTTAGTTGAAGAAGTTTTTTATTATGATATTTATTATTAAAATATGTTTTAGTATTAAGAACCGTACATTACTGATACTGTACAGTATTGTCTTTAAGTTTTCAGTGAACAACTGCACAGAGAGAGAACAATAATGATAATGATAATAATATTAAAAGCAATAATAATGATAATCGTAACAATAGAAAAATGGCAAAATAATGACTTACGAACAATTCAAGAAATGAAAAGCCTTCTGGAATGTAACTTGTTCATAAGTTGGGGGGCATCTGTAGTATGACAAGGTAATAGTGAGGATAGTCTTGTGAGAGGGAGGACAGAGCTTCCTGTGTCCTGCTCCTTACCCACTGGCACTGACCCAGCAGCAGCTACAGCAGTAGCACCTACAGCTACAGCTTCAGCAGCAGCAGCTACCCCAACCTAACAGAACTATGTAACTACTATTTAATCTATGGTTCTTAACCAGTTTCCACAAAAAATATGAACTCCACTCATATGCACAAAAAAATAAATATAGAAAATATTAATGCACTGATAAAAAATTTAACCAAGAAAAAATAATATTTATAATTAAGCCTTAGGAGAAGTGTAAATATTAAATGTCTCCAACACCAACAACACCCTATGATGGTATCCTATAATCCCTCTCTAATGCTTACTTTTAAAATAGTTCCCTATCTATCTCATACATACCCTAACCTGAGCCCTACTCTGCAAAAAAAAAAAAAAAAAATTATTAACCTATTTCATTATTTAAAATATTTTCTTTTTTAATATTTACAATTATCATAACTGCTGATCAGTGGTCATAAGTAATTTGTTGGTTCCAGAGCACTAATGTAATAAGTATGTATCATCGTAAGTTAGACCATCATAAATCAGAGACCTAAAAATGTGTAATATCTGTATATATTAATTTTGCAATATAATTTATTTAAAGTATTTTTAACAAAATTTCAGTACCTGAAGAGACACCAACGATGGGGAGCTTCAGTATCCGCCATTCTGCATCTTGCAACTTCTCTGAGTATGACCCTGAGGCCATTCCATATTTGGGTCATCTGCCTCAGGACCTAGCAGGGAATTCTGTGTTTGACTGCTATCATCCTCAGGACTTGCCTCTCCTCAAATCTGTTTATGAAGGAAGTAAGTTTATCTTTGCTTTACCTGCTGCTTATCTCTTTAGAAATACTTTGCCATCTGTAAGGCCTTTTTCCTTTAAAAATTTAATGGATTACTTCTGCAGATAAAAAAATTGGCTTGTTTCCTAAGAATAACTGCCAAAAGAATATTATGAAATAGAATCAGAGACAGTTAAAAGCTGAACTTGTTATTTTGTATATTGTTTACAGACTTAATGTCATACTGGGTTTGAATGGTGTTATGTAAAAAGCTTTGCCAGAATAGAAGAATAAAAGACACAATAATGTGACTGCAACAACTCACAAATAAAACACACTGTGATGATGAGATCTGTTTTAGTAGCAGTAGAATTTATAGCAGCAAATGCTACCACTACTGTAGCTACCTTATCACTATTACTGTTACTTCTGCTACCATTGCTACAGCTGCTTCAAATTCTTCTACCACCACTACCACCCATCTTCACTCTCTCTCCTCCTGATCTATTTCCTGATTTTCTCTCATTCTTTGTCTCTTAGTTGTGACTTGACAGTGGTCAAGGATGGACCAAAACATCATCAGTATTGTCTTGAAATTTAATTATTACATATAATTAAAGTGGTTAATGACTGTTATTTCTTTAATGCTTAAGCTGTGGGTAATTTGAATAAAACTCTTATGGAAATATAGAGCATCAAAAATTTCATATAACTACAAAGAAAAATCTGGGAATCCTATTGAATCTATTAATTCCTTGAAATCTTACAGCATATCAAATTTGAGGATTCAAAAGCCTAGTCCTCACCAGTGGCTAAATTGCTCATTGTACTAATTCTTTTATTCAGTCTTATACCATCAAATTTCATCACTATTGTTATTTACAAAATTTATATATATACACTGCTTACAAGGAAATACAGATACAGAATGCTAGAAATATAAAAAGTCTATGATTTTTCGGAAGGGGGGGGGGTGCTTATCTCTTAAGAGGGCCCTGTTTGTATGGCTCATAGGTTCCCGACCTCGTATGGCAAGCAAAAATCAATGGTGGGCAGAAGAGAACAGTTTTTGCATTATTGCATGTGTCTACAATGCCTGATAATGCTTTTACACTATCACATACTAAGTGCTAGATAAAGCTAGGCATAAAAAAAAGCTGAAGTAAAATAAATACACAGTACATACAATACTTACCTTAAAATATGGGGCCGATTGCCCTTCCCATATGCAGTTGTTGAATGAAAATAGAAGAGAAGTGGTAAAAGCACCGAACATAATGAACAACTGAAAGTCAATGAAAACGTGGAACAATAAAAGAGGGAACTGTATGTGTGGGGCCCTCCTCTACATTCTTCACTTCCAATTTTTGCATGAATGATCTCACTAAATAATTGTCATCATATTTCAGTGGTGAGAGAACAGGGTAAACCCCACAGAAGTAAACCTTACAGATTTCGAACCTACAATGGAAGCTACGTTACCCTCCAGACGGAATGGCTCTGTTTTGTTAATCCATGGACGAAGAGAATTGACTCAATCATCGGTCAGCACCAAGTGCTGAAAGTAAGTACCTCTCTGCTATTTTGTGATCTCCAGGGAATGAAATTATTACCTAATATTAATGAAAGATGATACTTCATTCATTCAGGGGAAAGAAATTATTATACTGTTAATGAAAGATGGTACTTCTTTCACTCAGGATAATTAACTGTTTGGATTTTTAACCTCTGTACTGGTGGAAGTGGGGTGTTGATACCAACAAATTGTAGGCAAAAAGACACTTAAGCATTGATCACTACGTTTATTAAGGAAACATTTCTCTACAAGTGGATCAGGAAGATGCCACTCGTGGCAAAATGTTTCTCTAATAAATGTCTTGATCAGTACATGTGCGCCTTTTACCTGTTACTGTATTATTATTGAGTGATGGTACTTATTTCATTCAGGCAAGAGAAATTATTGCTGTTAATGAAGGATGGTTATGTACACTTGTAGGTTGGGCAAATATTTTTATTAGTGGGTTTGGGTTTGAGAAGAACTTGCCTAGGCAGTCTCAACTGGGTCTAGTTCACAATCACAGGTTAAGTTTTTATAGTATAGAATTAAAAGGCACAATACTATGACAAGAACAATACATAAATAACCTGCATGTTCTTAAAGTTAAAGATTTTGGCACATCAGATCAGTGGGGTGTTTTCTTACAAGTAATGGGTTATGATAGATGGGAGGTGTTACACAGTGACAAAAAAATGGTAGCGTCAGGGGTCAAGGGACAAGGCTAGTTCAATAATGTTCTGATGAGCAACTAAATGTCGCCCATCTCTGTACATTGTATCATACTGAAATAAAATAATAATATTATTATTAATGGCCATGACGAATTCTAGCTCAAGTCCTCTCAAAGCTGGCCTAGAGTTTCATGACTCACTTGCTGTGAGTTCAAACCCCACCCATACAGGGGTTTGTTTACAGTTGTATCACTATGTTTTTGTTGTTGTTATTATTATTATTATTATTATTATTATTATTATTATTATTATTATTATTATTATTATTATTATTATCACTGCAGGGTCCCAGTGATATAGCTATATTCTTAGATCCTGAGGATAAGACACAGTCATCTCTGCCTGAAGAAGTCATGAAGGAGGCACAACAAGCACAAAATGAAATAATAGAATTATTAGCAAAGGTAATACAGTATGTAATATTGATAATATTTAATTTAGCAAAAAAAAAATGAAGTTTAACATTCTATTCTGAGTTTTAGTTGTTTTGCACTGGTCATTTATAGATAAATGTAGTTCTTTCCCAGGTAGAACTGAACATTTTTTGATTTCTGAATGGTGTATATGTGGAAGACAAAACTTTGCTTTAACCCTTAAACTGTCTATACGTAGATCTACGCTCACTTACGTAGCGCTCTGAATATTTTGGGATTTTTTTTTTTTAATGACGAATGCATTTTTTCTGGCATCCCTGTATTTTGTCATACTGCACACATTGAGTGCACAGACCCATTCTCTCATGTCTAGGCAACTCAGGCCTATCATGCCAAGGTTGAAACATGTAAAATAAAATGTAGATTTACGTTCGGAGTGCTACACATATGAATGTAGATCTACGTTTGGACAGTTTAAGGGTTAAGGATTGAGGATTTTATTTCTTTGCATAGTTTACAATGTGTAATTACAATTTTGATTTGCTAAGTACAGTGGACCCTTGAATTTCGTGAATTTTGGAAATCGGTGACTTTTTTCGTCAAAATATTGGCTTGATTTTCATGATTTGGCTTAGAAATCAGTGGTCATGTGAAATGCATCCAAGTGCCCTCCCAGCCGCCATGGGTACACAAACACCATTCAGTGTCAGTCTGGCGGCATTGTATCTCGGCAAGTGACGATCACCTCACATGTTCATATGATACTTTTCTTAATATATTTCATTTGTTTTAGTGCTTGTAGTGTTATGCAGTCAAAAATTTGCAGAAAGGCAAGGCAGTTGCATGACAATCTTGTAAAGAAAAGGCCTGGAACGAGTTATGATGTAGGTGAATTAAAGGCTAGCAAAGGCTGTTTCAAAAATTTCAAGAAGCGAAGTGGCATACACAATGTTGTCAGGCATGGTGAGGCTGCCAGTTCAGACAAACATGCAGCTGAAAAATTCACAAGTGAATTCAAAGACTATGTAGAGGCTGAAAGATTCGTCCCCAACAAGATTTAGATTTAGATTTTTTATTTTGACAAATTACATGGTTGTACAGAGGAATATAATAGTTGGGTGTACATGCCAAAAGCCCCTTTGTATGCTGAGCATTTCAGGCAAACTTAAAGATTAACTTAAGAATAGTAATGCAATAATACATTAGTTCATATGGTTATTAGGCGAGTTAGAGTGAGCACAGGAAAATTTAATATTATATCAAGTGAATCTACATGGTTTTGATAAGTCTAGTAGAGACTTTTTTACACTATTGAATTAGTTAATAAAGATTACAGTATTACAATGTAACAATTTAAAACAATTTACAGTGTGATGTATTACAGTTTGTAGTGTTTAAAATAATGAAATTTGGTATTACAATGGAACAATTTACATTATGATGTACTGTATTACTATTTAAAACAGTGAAAAGAACAGACATCCTAATTTCAAAGTATGAGTAGCTTTTGAGAAACTGGTAGTGGTTAGGTACGGTTTGTCTGGTTAACTTTACGTGATGAAGTGATTTCTTATTTGGGCCTTAAACTGATTTACAGACAGGGGTCCTTTAGTTTGTTCTGGCAATGAATTCCAGATCTTCGGGCCTTTTATGTGCAAAACATTTTTGCATAGGAAGAGATGAACACGGGGGATATCGAAGAGTGTTCTGTGTCTCCTATTATGGTTGTGTGTTCTGTTATAGTTATCAAGGAGGAGTTTAAGAGGAGGGTTTACATTAGAGTGTAGTGTTCTGTGTATGTAGTAGGCACAATTATAAGTGTGGATGTTTTGTATATTTAGTAAGTTAAGACTCTTGAAAAGTGGCTGAGTGTGTTGTTTAATGCAGGAGTTAGTACTCAATTGCATTGCAGCTTTTTGCCGGGTTATTAAAGGCTTAAGGTGATTTGCTGTGGTTGATCCCCATGCACAAATGCCATAGGTGAGGTAAGGGTAGATGAGAGAGTGGTAAAGATCAAGAAGTGCCATTTGGGGTACATAGTAGTGTATCTTAGAAAGGATGCATACTGTTTTGGAGATTTTTTGGAAATATGTTGTATGTGAGTCCAGTGTGTCTTGAAATGGGGGGAACCATTTATCGGTATGTTTAGCTGAATATTTGCAGGTCTGTTTCCAAACAGTATGAAGTAAGTTTTGTCAGTATTGAGAGTAAGTTTGTTGGTCATCATCCAAGTGAATATTTTTAGTAGCTCATCATTTACAGTGTTTCTAAGTATGGTTTGGTTTGGGTGAGAGAAGACATAAGTAGTGTCATATGCAAAAAGAACAGGTTTCAGTAGTTTAGAAGCATTGGGGAGGTCATTGATGTAAATGAGAAAGAGTAGTGGTCCAAGGACACTACCCTGGAGGACTCCAATAAGAACAGGTTGTGTGGTGGAGGCAACACCATTTGTGTATACATACTGATGTCTGTTGCTAAGATATGATTTTAGGTAATCGAGTGTGTCCTCTGACCCCGTAATGTTCAAGTTTTAGGTGCAAGAGATCATGGTCGACTTTCTGAATAGTGTACATGTATATGTGAAAAACAAAACTCTGCTTTACTTTCTGAATAGAGCATATGTGGAAGACAAAACTCTGCTTTATATTTCTGAATACAGTGGAACCTCAGTTTTCATGATTAATTTGTTCCAGAAAGTCTGACAAAAACCAAATTGTACGAAAACTGAAGCAATATTTCCCATAAGAAATAATGTAAATCCAATTAATCCATTCCAGACACCCAAAAATATTAACAAAAAATACATTTTATAGAGAATAACTATAGTTTTACGTACAGAAAAAATGAGAAATAAATATAAATGACTAATGAAATGGATAAATGAATTGAAGACTCTTGTTGGCATATGGAAGATGGCGAGGAAGGGAGAGGGAGGACAGGTTATTGTTTGGAAGGGGAATCTCCTTCCATAAGGACTTTAGGTATCAAGGCTCTATCTGGAGTTACTTCCCTTCTTTGGCTTTTACTGGTACTAGGACCAGTTTGAGAGTCACTGTACCCCTGTCACACAAACAATCTGTACAGAGAGGTCTGTTTCTGGAGTCTCTAAGATTTGCCTAAAATGGGGCAAGGTATTGTCATTGAACATGTTGCAGACACAGCTTGCAAGAGCTTTGTTAGGATGATATTTCTCCACAAAACTTTGCAACTCACTCCACTTTGCACACATGCCCTTAATCACTGATTTCCTGGATTTCCCATACATCCTGGTGAGATCGGCTACCCGTATGCCACTTTCGTACTCAGCTACCGCTTCTTTTTTTGAATTCTATCAGGTTTCTCGCCTTCTTTATCAAAGGGCTGGCAGTCAGAACTTTCTTTGGCCCCATGGTGGCTTATATAGCAGTCGCACTCAATAAACAAGCACAAAAAACAATGGATTATTACAAAATGTTTCGGCTGAATGTGTGGGGTGATGCTCTCACTCAACGATAAACAAAGGCAGACTGAGTCACTCGGCACTTGAGTGGCTGAGTGATGTGGGCAGGCAGGTAGATGCATTCTGTACAGACCATTGTCAACTCCATGAAAAGCGAGTTGATGTACGAAAACTGGGACAAAATTTTGATGGAAAATGTCATTGAAAACCAAACCCTATGAAAATTGGGGCGTATGAAAACTGAGGTTCCACTGTATTCTGAATAGTGTATATGTGGAAGATGTGAAACTCTGATTTGGTTCTCTTTTGCTGGTTTTTCAGACTTGGGTGACAAATAGAAAACTGAAATTAAATGAGAGTAAAAGAGAGAGATTTGGATTATTATGGGAAACCTCAAGGTAGTTCAGAACATTATTATTATTATAATAAAAAAAAAAGAAGCGCTAAGCCACAAGGGCTACACAGCGCATAGTCCAGAACAGAGATTGTGGTATTGTGAGTTGCAGCCTGTGAGAGCAGTGAAGGATCTGGGTGTCTACTGGGATTCTTTGTTGTCATTTGTTCCACACATCAACCATGTTGTTTGATTATGCAATTTTCATATTCATAATTTTTTGGGAGTCGGTAAATATCTTTATAAGCAGAGTATCCGCACTTTTCTTTCCTCTTAAATTGATTTTTGTAATTGTTTCTTTGTGGGTTTGCCTAAAAGGACTTCATTCTGTACCTATTATTATTATTACAATCGAAATTAAGCACTACATCAACAAGGATCTTATAGCGTGACTTTAGTCTGTACTGAATTGCACAATTAATCTGGTGTGTATGTTCCCCACTGGTGTTCCTGTTAGTCCCTACTTGTATGAGTTGCATTAACACTCTACTGATATATAAGTTATTAAGTTTAATGAGCATAAGGACCTTGCTAGTGGAGAGAAATCCTTCCTCTGTAAGTCATGCGTGTCATACGAGGTGACTAAAATGCCACCAGCAGGGGGCTAGTAACCCCTTCTCCTGTATACATTTTTTTTTTTGAGGGGTCACCCTGCCTCAGTGGGAGAGGACCAGTGTATTAAAAAAAAAAAAAAGTATCTTGTTGACATATTTGTTCCTATTACATCAGAAATAGTTCTATAAATTCCCATAGATGCTTTTTTAGACTTATTGAGCCTTGTTTTGTTGAAGAAGAATCATTCACAGCAAGAGTCATTCTTATGTAGCTCCTGGACTGTTTGACAGACTCTCAATGTGTTAACCCTTTCAGGGTCCACAGGCCCTCTCAGAGACATTCTCAGGGTCCCCCAAATTTAAAAAAAAAAAAAAAAAAAATCTTATGAAAAGATAGAGAATCTTTTCCCGATCATAATGACACCAAAAGTATGAAATTTGATGGAAAACTTACAGAATTATGCTCTCGCGAAGTTAGCGGTCTCGACAATATATACGCATCGGCGATTTTGCCCACTTTGAGCCCTATTTTCAGCCAATTCCAGTGTACTAGTCGACAAAAATCATACCTATTTTACTAGAACTCTATTTTTTCTATCGAATGAGTACAAGAAACCACCCATTTACCAATTTCAACTATCCAATACAGTGGTCAGAATTTAGCAATTTTGCCAATTTCACACAAATTTCAAAAGATGCCAGTTTCCAAATAGGGTCCAGAATAAACAAGAAAAACATTCCTGGCACTAAAATAACATTTCCTCTGTTCATTAGTTACATCCCCACGCCCCTCTTATATTCTTTTGCTTTCCATTTTGAATTTTTATTCTCACAAAAAATAGAAGATTTACTGTTATGCAGGCTGCTGCATTAGTGTAGAAATGGTATAAATAATATCAGCGCACTTGTGAAAGAATATTAGACTCACCAGTTGACGTGTATTGGACGCTTAGCATGATTTGTTTACTTTTGAACTTTGGTAAAAATCAAACATTTCTGCTACTTTGAGCTCAATTTCAAGGTACTTTTCATTGTAAAACCAGTCAAAATCAGCTCAATTTCTGTAATATGTCTTCCATTCTATCAAATGAGACCAGAAAACTAGAATACAACAATAAATACCATATGAAAATACAGTGCAAATTCGGTTTTAATCCAAAAACATGGTCAAAGTTTTTTTTTTCTCATTACGCACTGTGTGCTGCAGGATTTTTTTATACTGAGCACACTGACCACATAGACCCATTCTTTCATATGTAGGCCTACCAGCTTTCTCTCACTAGATTTGGAGGCGCTAGAATTTATGAGTACTAGTATGTCCCTACCCTGGCATGTAAGCCGTACTAGTACAGCCGAAACCCTGAAAGGGCTAAGAGTCAGGAATATGTTCATGCATTCACCTCTCAGTTGCAAGCACATACTATCACGCTTAAATATAGACTTGAGAATATCTGAGTCATTGCTGTTGTTGTATTTATGGATTGGTGTGCGAGTGATTGTGAACTTGTTGCAAGAACAGGTGCTTAAGAATAGAAGTACCAAATTATTATTATAGTCTTTTTTTGTTAGTTTTTCTTGTTTTTGTTAATGTTTTTGTTGTTTTTTTGTTTCTATTTTATTACTTTGTTTTTATTGTTTTTTTTTATTATTTTTATTATTATTATTGTTGATTTTGTTATTGTTTTATTTTTATTGTCATTTTTCTTTTTTGCTATTATTGTTTTTGCTTTTATTGTTATGTTGCCTGAAGTGTTACTGCCATATAACTTTACGTAGTATGACCATTTTTTCGTCTAAATGTTTCTTCATGAGCACTGATTGACATTTCTAGATTGGAATTAGCTTAAATTTTTTAACTAAGCATTATGAATTTAGCCAAAGCTAACTCCATTCTTCATTGCTTGGTATAGCCAGTTGCTACCTACAAGGACCCCAGCAAAGAGTCGGAGGTGAGGAGAAGCATGCCAGTTCACAAGATGAGCTCCACAATGGATGAGTTAGACACCATGGAGAAAACCAGGAGCAGTCTTGTAGAGAAAGCTGCAGCACCACAGAGATTGAGCAGCCATCGCCCTGTACGTGTGCTCCTGGCACCCAGTCAACCCAATTCTGTAAGTGTATGAGGTTGTTCATACTTGGCATGCCCACACTGCACTTTGGGGCACATAAATAACACAAACAAAAAGCTTTATTTCTTTCTGCACTATACAAAATTAAGTTTACATGTAATAAAATATTGTTAAGCACAAAATAAAGCCACTAACGTGTTGTGCACGTCAAGCAGACTAATTCTAGTGCTTACACACTACTTAAGAACTAGACTTAGGTTATTAACCCGTAAATGGTCCAAACGTATATATACGTTCACTACCCCAGTGCCCCAAATATTTTGAAAAATAAAAAAAAAAAATTTTTAATGAAAATAAAGAGCACATTTTTCTAAGTGTTATAGGATAAAAAAAAATTGGGGTCAGTACTTACAGAGATATGAAACCGAGAAGTTGGCACTGGATGCTCACATGGCAGCAACATCGAGTCCTACCCTTGCAGAAGTGTTGCCGATATACCTTTATTTCTATTTTTCATATTATTTTATATAATAATTTGCTGGTACACAAACATGTCTGTCTGTCTATTTGTCTGTCTGTCAAGTTCCTTGTCTATCTATCAGAGAGCCACAAGACTGCGTCATCACGTTTACTCATATCTTCAAGCAGAGTATAGCACTTTGTCTAGATTTTTGGGGTTATCCTAGTTAATTTACACTATGTATACTTGTATTTATGTGTACCTGTGAGACAGAGATAGACAGAGACAGATAGAAAGAGATAGAGACAGACAGACAAAGACAGACAGAGATAGACATAGACACAGACGAACAAATGGAACCAGGCCACCAGCAGCCGGCCAGCCATTCAGCTGGCCAGCCAGGTGGCCAGCCAGCCAGCCAATCAGCTAGTCAGCCAGCCAGCCATCCAGCCAGCCAGTCAGCCAGCCAGCCAGCCAGCCAGCCAGCCAGCCAGCCAGCCAGACAGCCTGCTGAACAAGTATTAAGTTCCAGGGCATAGGTTATAAGACATTCTGAAAGGGTGTTGCACAAATGTTGCACATGGATTATTATCGAGGTTTTTTGATATTTCCTCGACCACTTATGGCCACATCTACCTCAAAGCCACTAAACTCAGGGTCAACATCCCTTTCCTCCTAAAATGGGAGAGTTAATACTACATGAAATCAGTGAATTCCAGGTGTTTGCCGCGCTGTTTGCTCTAGCTAGCACTCATTTCAGCTGGTGCTCCCACAAGGTACTAAGTGGTCCCAGATTTTTTTAATATGGTGCACACTGAGTGTTATGACCCATTCTGTGCTGACAAAGCATTTCAGGCCAATTATGCCGTATTTGAAGGCAGGAAAAATAAAACGTTTGTATATGGTTGGGGTACTAGCAGGAAGAATGTATATATACGTTTGGACCATTTACAGGTTAAGTATGATTTTTTTAATGTAAAAAAAGCAAAGTTTACCTGGCGTTTACCTGGAGAGGGTTTTGGGGGTCAACACCCCGTGGCCCGGTCTGAGACCAGGCCTCATGGTGGATCAGGGTCTGATCAACCAGGCTGTTACTGCTGGCCGCATGCAAGCTGACGTATGACCACAGCCCAGTTGGTCAGGTACTGACTTTAGGTGCCTGTCCAATGTCTTCGTGAGGACAGCCGGGGGTCTATTGGTAATCCCCCTTATGTATGCTGGGAGGCAATTGAACAGTCTTGGGCCACAGACACTTATTGTGTTGTCTCTCAGTGTACTCGTGGTGCCTCTGCTTTTCATCGGGGAAATGTTACATCCCTGCTGAGTCTTTTGCTTTCATATGGGTGATTTTCATGTGCAGGTTTGGTACCAATCCCTCCAGGACCTTCCAAGTGTATATTATCATGTATCTCTCTTGCCTGCATTTGAGGGAATACAGATCAAGGACCTTCAACTGTTCCCAGTGATTTAGGTGCCTTATCGCACTTATGTGTGCCACGAAAGGTCTTTGTACACTCTCCAAGTCTGCAATGTCGCCAGCCTTGAAGGGGGCCATTAGTGCACAGCAGTATTCCAGCCTAGAGAGCACAAGCGATTTAAAGAGAATCATCATGGGCCTAGCGTCCCTAGTTTTGAAGGTTCTCATTATCCACCCTATCATTTTTCTAGCGGATGAGGTAGATACATTGTTGTGGCCTTTGAAGGCGAGATCCTCTAACATTGTCACTCCCAGGTCCTTCACATTACTTTTCCGCTCTATTGTATGGTTAGAATTTGTGGTATACCCTGACACATTTTTAATTTCTTCAAATTTTCCATATCTGAGTAGTTGAAATTTCTCCTCATTGAACTTCATATTGTTTTGAGTCACCCATTTGAAGATTTGGTTGATGTCCACATGGAGTCTCGCAGTGTCTTCGATGGGGGTCGCTGCCATGGTGATCCGGGTGTCATCTGCAAAGGAAGATATGGAGCTATTGCTTACATCTCTGTCTGTGTCAGAAATGAGGATGAGGAATAGAATGGGAGTGAGTACTGTGCCTTGTGGAACAGAGCTTTTTACCATGGCTGCCTGGGACTTTACCCTGTTTACCATTACTCTTTGTGTTCTATTTGTCAGGAAGTTATAGATCCATCTACCAACTTTTCCCGTTATTCTTTTATCCCGCATTTTGTGTGCTATTACACCATGGTCACACTTGTCAAAAGCTTTTGCAAAGTCTGTGTATACTACATCTGTATTTTGTTTATCCTCTACAGCATCCAGGACCTTGTCATAGTGATCCAGTAGCTTGGACAGGCAGGAGCGACCTGCTCTAAACCGGTGTTGTCCTGGGTTGTGTAACTGATGGGTATCTAGGTGGTTGGCTATCTTGCTTCTTAGAACCCTCTCAAATGTTTTTATGACATGGGATGTTAGTGCTATCGGTCTGTAGTTCTTTGCAATTGCTTTACTGCCACCTTTGTGGAGTAGGGCTATGTCTGTTGTTTTTAGTGTGTGTGGGATGACCCCTGTGTCCATGCTCCCTCTCCATAAAATGCTGAAGGCACGCGAGAGGGGCTTCTTGCAGTTCTTGATGAATACAGAATTCCATGAGTCTGGGCCTTGGGCAGAGAGCATGGGCATGTCATTAATTGCCTCTTCAAAATCTTGTGGAGTTATAATAATATCCGAGAGTTTTGGGATGACCAAATTTTGGGTTTTGTTCATGAAGAATTCATTTGGAGTAGGCAGTGGATCACTGAACACTGAGTCATATTGTGACTTTAGTATCTCACTTATATCTTGGCTATCATTTGTGTATGTCCCATCCCGCCTAAGAAGGGTCCCAATACTGGAAGTTGTTTTTCGCTTAGATTTGGCATAAGAGAAGAAGTATTTTGGATTTTTTTCAATTTCCTTTATGACCTTTAGATCTTCCTGTGATTCTTGTGTCCTATAAGATTCCTTCAGCTAAAGTTTGATATTTGCAATTTCATTTACTAGTGCTTCCCTTCGTATTTCAGGTATATTGACCCCACTCAGCAGCTCTGTGACTCTTCACCTTCATCTGTATAGGGAACATCTCTCTCTTTCTAGTTTACATCTTCTCTTTCTTTTTCTTAATGGAATGTGTCTTGAGTAGATCTCAAGAACCACAGAATTAATTTTTTCAAGGCAGATGTTCGGGTTCATATTGTTTGGGATACCTTCCAGCTTGTTTCATTTAGGACATGGTTTACTTGGTCCCATTGTATGTTTTTGTTATTGAAATTGAATTTTGTGAAGAGACCTTCATGACTGCTCACATTTTGCTGGTCCAGAGCCCTGTGCATACATGTCTACCTCTATTATTTTGTGATCTGAGTGAATTGTCTTTGATACAGTTATGTTACTTATCAGATCATCATTGTTAGTGAAGATGAGGTCCATCTTATTTTCTAGTCTTGTAGGCTCTCTAACTTTTGCTGGTTTAGTGAATTTGGTTGCAGAGATTTAGTAGTTCATGTGTGTATGAATTTTCATCTGAGCCGCCTCCCGGGGTGATCTCTGCTAAAACATTGCATCTGGAGGCTTGTATACTACCACAATGATAAAGGTTTTGGTTTTCGATCTTTACCACCAAAACTTTCAACTACATCATTTGAGATGTTTAGTAGTTCTGTGCAAATGAGCAACTCTGTGACATACAGGCCAACCTCCTCATGTTGCCTGTTTAGTCTGTCGCATCAGAATAGGTTATAACCTGGTATCCATATTTCGTTGTCATAATGATCCTTTATGTGGGTCTCTGTGAATGCTGCAAACATTGCATTTGACTCTGTGAGCAGTCCCTTGATGTAAGGAATTTTGTTGTTTTTTGACAGCTTTAGACCCAGTATGTTTGCAAAGACAAATGTTGTATTGGTGGAATTTAGAGGGGGTTTTATTTGCTGACTCTAATATCTGTTGTTCTGGGGTAGAGGCCAATGTCCATGCCTCTGCTCCAGAAGTGTTTTCAGGTGGTGTAGGATTATTGTCATTTCTTGCCATTCTTTTTTTCCCTCCTGGCCCTAAAAATCCTCTGTCTCTGGAGAGGTTGTGGCTCCTCTCTTTTGTTTCCCATAGTCTGGCTGGTCTGTCTTCTAGTCCCCTTTAGATGTTCTGCCTGGCAGTATGCATTGTAGCATTTTCTTTCATGGATTGATGAGTGACACATTTCTGGGTGAATTAAGTTACAAGAAGGGAAGCTGCACTCTCCTCTTGCCATGTGGGTGTGGCTTGCATGTGGGTGCGGCATTTTGGGGGATAGTCAAAGGTGCACGTCCCACCTGTTTTGCCAGATATACTGTGCCTGCAGATACCCAAGGCATAGTATTTACATAGATTGTACTTCTGTTTGCTAGGATTTATTGTAGCTGCATTCACTGCTAGTGCATTTATTTTTCCTGTGTCCTCAATATCTTTTACCCCTGTATGGACATCAGTGCTTCCACCAAGTTTTGCTGGTAGTGTGTCGACACTATTTCCTGAGGCATCATCCCATTTTGATCCATCTCCAGCAGTATCTCTATTTTGAACCTCTGTGGACTGAATAAGGTTGTCTTCAGTGTCCTCCAGGAC